TTCGTTCGAACGCAGATTTTTTTCGTTCGAACGCAGATTTTTTTTCGTTCGAACGCAGATTTTTTTCATTCTTACGATGATTTTTTCAATTTTTTTTTTCACCTATGTCCCTTTAAAAGCTCCGTACTGGTCAGACCAAAGTTCCGGAATTGACGCGGCCACGCGGCTATTTTTTTTTGGGGGGGGGGGGGGGGGTTTCTTCTAGATTTGATTGTACAGACAAAGTGGGGTACTATTTTGCTTTTTTGGTGTCCTCATGTACATTGGTGTCCTCCATATTTTGCCTTGGTGCTTTCGAAAACTTGCCTTGGTGCAATTTCCCATTCCTTGGTGCTCTTTGGTAAAAAAAAATTGAGGAGGTGCGGAAATAGAGGGCGCTGTTGGAGCTACCGCGGAACATTTTGGAAAAAAAAAGATTGACGCGCATGATTAAAATCGACGCGCGCGCTGACCAGAGACCGACTTATTATTTTTTGGGGGCCTTAACGTGGAATTTTTGTGACCCAGAACTTCGAACCTCGTTGATACTCGCGACAATTGAGCTTTGTACTGCATTGAAAAATAGATGGAGGTGTAGATTGTGGTTTTTGACCGAGTTGTGCAAGTTCCTTACAACGGTATCGAAGCACATTATTTATTTATTTTTTTAATTTTTTATTTATTTATTTCTTCTTTATACTGGTTGGCCCATTCAGTCCTTTAATCAGAACTGTTCTCCCATGGGTCCCAGTAGGGGTAATAATACAATAAAACATGACTTGAACATGAGCATTGATAAAATCAAATTTTAAGTACATGTATGTATATTCACATTGCACAGTATTAAACAAACATCTATACTACAATTCAAGGAATCTCTGTCTGTCTGTCTGTCTGTCTGTCCGCCGATTATCTCCAGAACCGGGCACCGTATGGAGTTGAAAATCGGCGGGTGCATTGCTCGGGACAACAGAATGTGCAGTGTCGAGTTTGAAGTGGTTTAGACGAGCGGTTGTCGAAAAAGCTGCAAAAAAGCAGTACTTTCTGAAGCCTAGCGCGCCAGAATATAGCCTAGAACTCCACGCACTGCTGTTCTTTTCAATTGTTTACGTCATGTTAAAGCAAGAGCGCGCGTGCTCAATATGACGCAAACAATGCAAAAAGGACGGGCACGCGCACGTGCATTGTAGGGCGATACCATTGTCCAGTATGGATGAATAGCACTGCGTACCATATGTTTCCGTACGTGATGACTGCACGGGCACATGCATTTTTCAGTCGATTGAACCACTATTGTGGGCGGTGGATTGAGCAACCGTACTCACGTAGGTGAGTAGCTGCACGGGCGTATGGGTGAATATCAGTGCCGGGGATGGGCTGGCGACATGTACAAAGTGCGCTCAACCTATGAGTGTGAGTTTTACCTGTGAAAACAACACAATTGAATCGTGTGCGTTGTTTGCATGATAGAAGCATTTTGAAATTGCCCCTAACGAACAGGTGCATTTTTTGACGGGCCCTGCAAAAAGGACGGGCACATTGTTGGGCGATAGCACTGCTCACCATGTCTTCGTACGTACATATACGTGAGTGGCATGCACGGGCACATGCATTTTGTACTGAACTGAGCAACCATCACTGCACTGTATGTAGGCGGTCGACTGAGCAACTCTAATACAATATTGCATCGCCCTACAACTACGCCCTACAGTTGTAGGGCGATACCATATTGTCCAGTGGGGGTAAATATCAGTGCCGGGGGGGGGGGGGGGGGGGGGTGACGACTTTTGTGAATTTAACTTGCGAGTGTGCGTTCACACCATTGAATAATGTGCGTTGTTTGCACGAGCTGCAGTTCTCAACTGCCCCTTCCGAACACGCAGTGTCGAGTTTGAAGTGGTTTAGACGAGCGGTTCTCGATAAAGCTGCAAAAAAGCAGTATATTCGGACGCAAACGTGGCAGCTTAGAACATAACACCACGCGTTGCCGTTCTTTTCAATTGTTACGTCATGTTTAAGCTAAAGCGCGCGTGCTCAATATGACGCAAACAATGCAAAAAGGACGGGCACGCGCACGTGCATTGTAGGGCGATACATTGTCCAGTATGGGTGAATAGCACTGCATACCATGTTTTGGTATGTACACGGGCACATTATTTTTGCAGTCGACTGAGCAACCATTGTAGGTGGTCGAACTTCAAACTTGGCACAAACTTCGACGTAAGTGTGCGTTCAACCTGTGAAAACAACACCATTGAATCGCGTGCATTGTTTGCACGAGCAGTTCTCCAAAACTCTGCAAGTATGCAACCTATACCAGCGGCAAAGCAATTTGCGTTTCCCGAACATGCACATTTTAGACGGGCATTTTTCGGGACAACAGAATGTGCAGTGCAAAGTTTGAAGTTGTTTGGACCAGCGGTTCTCGAAAAAGCTGCAAAAAGCAGTATTTTCTGAGGCAAACGTGGCAGTATATAGCTTAGAACATAACACCGCACGCACCACTGCCGTTCTTTTCAATTGTTTACGTCATGTTTAAGCTAAAGCGCGCGTGCTCAATATGACGCAAACAATGCAAAAAGGACGGGCACGCGCACGTGCATTGCAGGGCGATACATTGTCCAGTATGGGTGAATACTAATGGATCAATGGGTGAATAGCACTGCATACCATGTTTCCGAATCTACACGGCACATTATTTTTGAAGTCGACTGAGCGACCATTATAGGTGGTCGAACTTCAAACTTGGCACAAACTTTGACGTAAGTGTGCCTTCAACCTGTGAAAACAACACCATTGAATAGCGTGCGTTGTTTGCACGAGCAATTCTCAAAAACTCTGCAAGAGTATGCAACCTATACCAGCGGCAAAGCAATTTGCGTTTCCCGAACATGCACATTTTAGACGGGCACTGCACTAGTCTTACTATAATTCCAGGAATCTCTGTCTGTCTGTCTGTCCGTCGATTATCTCCAGAACCGGGCACCGTATGAAGTTGAAAATCGGCGGGTATATTTTTCGGGACAACAGAATGTGCAGTGCAAAGTTTGAAGTTGTTTGGACCAGCGGTTCCCGAAAAAGCTGCAAAAAGCAGTATTTTCTGAGGCAAACGTGGCAGTATATAGCTTAGAACATAACACCCGCACGCACTGCCGTTCTTTTCAATTGTTTACGTCATGTTTAAGCTAAAGCGCGCGTGCTCAATATGACGCAAACAATGCAAAAAGGACGGACACGCGCACGTGCATTGCAGGGCGATACATTGTCCAGTATGGGTGAATACTAATGGATCAATGGGTGAATCAGTGCATGCTGCATACCATGTTTTTGTATGTACACGGGCACATTATTTTTGTAGTCGACTGAGCGACCATTGTAGGTGGTCGCACTTCAAACTTGGCAAAAATGTTGACGTAAGTGTGCGTTCAACCTGTGAAAACAACATCATTGAATCGCGTGCGTTGTTTGCACGAGCAGTTCTCCAAAACTCTGAAAGTATGCAACCTATACCAGCGGCAAAGCAATTTGCGTTTCCCGAACATGCACATTTTAGACGGGCACTGCACTAGTTATTTTAAAAACGGAGAGCATAAACATTGCTTTAAAAATGTACCTTACAATAAGCCTTTTCGGAGTTCCAACTGCGCGCATTCGTAACCTGTGACAACGCACATTGTTTTGTCTCAAATGCCCTTTGACAGTACCCACAATGCACAAACAGCCTTTTTGTAAAGTCAGTGGCGCGATGATGTCAAAGGCCATTTGAGACAAATAATGCGCGTTGTCACAGGTTATGAATGCGCAGTTGGAACTCCGAAAAGGCTTATTAGCGTGTGTGTCACATGCGAAAAAACTGTCACACTCCAAACTTCCCAGCACGAAAGAAATAGCCTAATATCCAACCACAATGTACTGGACATCTACATGTATATAATAAAAACTTTAACCATCTACAACAAAGATTTATAAAATAAAATAAAAAAATATAAAAATTGAAGTCTTCAGAACAAGAGAGAATTATAACTGATTAACACCTAATGTCCTCATGTTCGACAACACCGAAGAAGACACAACATACATTTACAACTATACCCAAGGGCGGATACAGGGGGGGGGGGAGGGGGCCATGTGCACCCCCCCCCCGAAAAAAGAACCCTGCCATTTTTTAAGAGACGTCGCAATACGGGCGATTCCCAATAGTGCGCCTCCAAGAGTTTGCAACGCGTTGGCCAATCACAATGCGCGAAATCAGTCGACCTTTTCCAAACGCGCATTGGGTCGACAGATTTTGCGCATTGTGATTGGCCAACGCGTTGCAAACTCTTGGAGGCGCACTATTGGGAATCGCCCGTATAAAGGCAGGCACTGCGCACACCAACACCTTTTCCTAAAAAAAAAAGGTTACTAGTCAGAAATTGCCTCAGATCGCACAACAGAGCATCTAGAATCAAGAAAAAATCCGGGGCCCTTGAGGGAGCCAGGGCCCCGAACCTCACGCCGCATTTCTTGGACCCACTTTTTGGGGGACCAAACCTTTTGTTTTGGCCCCTCCCCCAAAAAAAATGTGCTCTGGATCCGCCCTTGACTATACCCAAGATGAGAGGCCAAGGGATCAAGGATAACAATGTCACACACACACACACCACAAAATGTAAAATGTGGGAAAGTTTTCCTTGCACATAGGCCTCCAATTTTTCCATTATTAATTTCTTAATCAGTCACTTCGAACCTCGGACTCTTGTTTGAAACACAACACTTTTACTACTAGGCCGCGCACGTACGATCGCTGTTGCAATAATCAATCTTTGGGCGCATTTAAAGTACCATTGAAATAAGACTAATGACTACCATTTGAACTACATATTGATGAGAAATGATATATTCATTATGACTTTTTAAAAGGAAAATAAAGTCCGAATTTCTGGCCAGGTTGCTCAATGTACAAATGTATAGCCCCTCTCACACAATCTTAGGGTAAGCATGCAGTCATAGCAAAAAGTACGTCTACTCTGAGTACTCACCACGGCTCGTTCTCTGCAACTGTCCAGTTAATACAAGCTGTCACAACTTTTAGGTATAAGACTGACTTCCGATGCACAGCTACAAGTACCCCCCACAATATTGGCTTTCAGGATGGTTTTATTATACGCAACAAATAACTTAATTTACAAGGCAAGTAGGACAGCGGAAACATCAGCCGCATGAAAAGCATCAGACAAGAGCACGTACGTGTGAGTGAACAAATGAAAAACTACAGTGCGTTAACTTTGACCTTACTATTCACAGCATATCAAATCCTTTGTGGTCAAAAGGACCCCCATGTAAACTGGCCAAAGTGCACAGCCAGACGACCTTGGACACATGGACACATGGACACATGGAGATAAGAGCTCCCGGGCTCTGTGTATATACAGTAGCGCTGCCTAGCACGTGTACAATAAACAGACCCTACGCGCTGAGCCATTGATAAACGGCAAATTTTATTTGAGTTTAGACGTGAATACACGCGAGCCTAAACCTTAACCACTCACAATAAGGGCCCTGTCACACTTCTGCGTATCCTAATTCCTTATGAGTTAAGCATTGACATTTTTTTCATACGCAGTCGTGCGCACAATACGCACCTCATATGCATCTCTATCGTTTTGTGTAGGTTTAATGTACGCAGATATACGCATGGTACGGCCCAGTACGCAGGATAGTTTTGGGCATGCACAAAACTACGCTGCGTACGCTGTTACGCAGGTCATAAGTTATAAATAGCAGCGCATCGGTCGAGCACGGTACGAGTTCGTGGGGGATAAGCGGTTCATATGCAGTAATACGCTGACCTTCCGGCACGCACCCCGTCAGCATAATTATGAACCGCCCATATTGGACGTGTATAGAGTGTACTTGCAGCGCAGATACAACGCACGCTGAACGAACTCATAGCGAATGCCGACGTATTGCGTCAGGCATGCGGTCGGCATAAGTCGGGTGCGTCCGGAATACGCTCAGCATGCGCACTGCATACTGACCTATTCGCAGCCCGAAAAATAATATTGTGCACTGCATACGCAACTCATACACATCTCATACGCAATGGATGCGCTGAATTCGTTACTTGTACGCTAGATGTGCGTCGCACTAAAGTCAAAGTATTCAAAAATTTCGACGTTTTGAGCGTACGGCTGCGTATTAAAAAATTTTGATAAGGAACTCATAAGGAATTAGGATACGCAAAGGTGTGACAGGGGTTGTTATATTGTTGGAAAGCTGACGAGACGAAGAAAAATGACCCGAGAGATCTAAGCTCCCAGGTGGCACTATTTAACGTTATGATGATGTTAATGGACCTGCAGTTCTTGGCTGAACGCGTTGTTTACACACACAAAACAGGGAGATTTGTGACTGAAAATGCAATGTTTAACATCAATTCGCGAGTGAAACTCAGTGTTTTATTCAGTTTTTGTTTCATTTTCTGGAAAAGTATATTGTTAGGGTCACACTGTAGTGAGATCTAAGGTATACCCTGTCGAATAATGAAGTGGTGGCGACAGATGTAAAAAAGGCCCGTTTTTAATGATTTTTTCGCTGCGTTCTCTCATAGAGGTTGCACATAAAAACCGGCCCGGTGGGTTAGTTCCCAAAAGGATTTCATATGGCTGTCAAGACAGGGCGCTCTTCAATAATTTGGCGACAATAGGGGGTGAACACCTGTAAATAGGCCTAAACCCATCCGCCGAGCTGATGAATAAAAGTTATACCCTCAAAATATTCTATATAAAGAGTTCTGAGAGCCATAACATTGGGGTATTGAGGAGATATGGCAATGAACCTCTGGCCGGACTCGGGGCTTCCAATTCAAGATGGCTACCGTTCCGCTTTGGGGAAAATAGGGGTCATCTTCTTTGGGCGAGAATTTCTCGAAAAGTCAATAGTTAACCCACCAAAAAAATGAAAAGAAATTGAAAGATGACATGTCGATCATCATTTTTCTGTGCAGCTTAAATACCTATGAGAGTTCTGAGTATTTTTAAAAGAATTTTGAAGTATGGGCATTTAGCACTAGTGGCTATGGGAATTTTTTGCACTGTTGCACCCATAGGAGCTCCCTACGGAAGCCCGTTCGTTCCAGGTTTTAAAAGTAAAAAAAAAATTTTTATTGCGAAATAACGCAATAGCATTGCGAAATAACGCAATAGTTATGCGAAATAACGCATTACTATTGCGAAATAATGCAATAGTTTTTGTTAAATAAACCCACTGTTTTTGAGAAAACAATGCATGAGTCCGAATGATTGAACCTGTAGGCGGACTTATAGGTAAATTCTCACGTCATATTTTCTGACAGATAAAGTTTTTATGGTGTATAAAACCAACCCTGCATGGCGGATCGTGAATTTGTAAATGGGGTTAGCGGAGGACACGTAATAAATAGGACTTAAGACTTAAAGCAGTGACTAGAGATTGTAATAACGAGATTGTTATTTCTTACTTATGAATCTTACTTAGGGAACATTGGGATTTTCTACCCAGTTGGGCATTTTCCAGACGGAAGATGATGGTTAATCATCCCAACCATTCCCATAACCCAACACTGCCTAATGACCCCCATAAAAACACGTTTTAGCTTTAAGAACAAATGGAGACTTAAACGCACAGTTCTTTTTTAAAAACTTTTAAAAATTCGTTCAGTTCTTTAACAAGCTTAAAAAACACCTTTCTAATTCATATCAGTATACGGCTTTAGTGATTCTTAATGCAAGGCATCCTTTTATCAATTGAAATTAAATGGACCGGTTATGTAACTTTGGGAGGGGGTTATTGCGGGGAAAACATTTAAAAGTTGGAAAATCATTCTTATGTAATTATCATTCGTTTAAATGTATTAGTTTTCTTCAAGAACATTTCATCAAAATGGACAAATAATGGCTAAACTGAACACCCGGGTTGAAGTTTGTACACGACAATCTTTGAAGAACGTCACAGAGACAGTTAAAACTTGTTCCATCCCAAGGTTCCTGGATATTTAGTACATTTACCTGCATGGAACAGAGGACATGCATAATGTGCCATTGGACAGCGATCGGGTGCCAATTAAATGATTTAGGACCTCAGTTCGAGAGTTGAGATAGACCTTTATAATGCTGCCACCATTTCAGTCATGTTCCTTGTATTCAATAACAATACTGAATGATAATGTTTCTGCGCAAAAAGGAACCAGGCTATTTTTCCTTCCAGCCTCGCTTTGGTTACGTTGATTTGAATGGTGAAAAAATCATGACGGCCGCAACATGATAATGGTCTATAGGCCTACTTGTCGCAAGTCCTCGACGCATTATGACAAGATCATGTACACATACACACATAAACGTTTTTCAATGTATTGAACAGCGGTTATTTCCATGGGTATAATAACAAAAGGAACCCTTATAGAACAGGATATGGAGAGGTAGCTGTGGTGCTCGGCCCACTTCGGGGCGCTCAAACTTCAAAGTCGAAATCCAAGCCGGTCCCTTTCATCTTCAGGGCGTAGATCTTGTCGAAGAGGGCGCTCTGTGCCACCGTGAAAGTGTTCTTCCAGTCGCCGACTTGTCCTGCGATGGAAATAGAAAGACAATTTTTTTTTTTTAAATCCTAACATAATCCAAACAATCATGTTTGATCTCCAAGACTCTCCTTTGCTTACAAATTCAGCTTCTGCAGCGAACTCACTCCGCTGATTCATATCATTGGTAGGCTATTAGAATCTCACTGCATGCCAAATTATAGAAAATCTCAAACAGCCAAAATAATCTTCCTCAAAGCACGGTTGAAACTTGGAAATCGAGACTGTCGGGTCGTTGGGGATAGAAAGGCAGAAACCTACGCAACTTCCTGTTGAACTTATAGATTCGCGTGAAGAAACTGGAGTATAGGACTGGGGAATATATTAAATGGAATAAAGAACAGTGCTGAAGTCGAGTCACCAACGTCGTGTCCGAGTCCGAGTCCCGAGTCACAAGCCTCGAGTCCGAGTCTGAGTCTCGAGTCACAAGCCTCGAGTTCGTGTCCGAGTCTCGAGTCACAAGCCACGAGTCCGAGTCCGAGTCTCGAGTCACAAGCCTCGAGTCCGAGTCCGAGTCTCGAGTCACAAGCCTCGAGTCCGAGTCTCGATTCACAAGCCTCGAGTCCGAGTCCGAGTCTCGATTCACAAGCCTCGAGTCCGAGTCTGAGTCTCGAGTCACAAGCCTCGAGTCCAAGTCTCGAGTCAAGCCTCGAGTCCGAGTCCAAGTCTTGAGTCACAAGCCTCGAGTCCGAGTCCAAGTCTCGAGTCAACAAGCCTCGAGTCCGAGTCCGAGTCTAGAGTCACAAGCCTCGAGTCCGAGTCTCGAGTCACAAGCCTCGGGTCCAAGTCCCGAGTCACAAGCCTCGAGTCCAAGTCCGGGTCTCGAGTCACAAGTCTCGAGTCCGAGTCTGAGTCTTGAGTCACAAGCCTCGAGTTCAAGTCCGGGTCACGAGTCACTTGTTTCGGTTGTTTTCAGATAATTTTTCAATCATCCGTTCTGTCTTTTAAGTAAATCGCAGTGTATACCTTGTGTACGTGTGTAAGCTACATGTTGTTTATAAAAATGTGTTTTCCTTTTAATTCCCATCCCTAAAAGAAATCACCTCCATCCCTTCCCTCCATGTTTTATCATCCAAACATTATTCATGAATGCTCCCTTCCCATCCCTACGTTATGTTTTTTTTTCTTTTTGATGAAAATACGTGACTCGAGTCACGAGTCAACAAGCTCGAGTCCGAGTCATCATGGTCGAGTCCGAGTCCGAGTCATTTTCCAATGTGACTCGAGTCGAGTCGAGTCACGAAAAATGTGACTCGCACGAAAAATGTGACTCGAGTCCGACTCTGGGACTCGAGTCCTACATCACTGATAAAGAATAGGAACAACACCACATTTCTTGGTTATTTGGCAACTTTT